TTCGACGCCTCTGCCTTTGCATCCATCGATTTTTCATTGTACGAGATCTCCTTTTCGTTCCACCTCATATTATACACATGTATTCAAATCAAAACGATATCTTCCAGTAATCTGAGTGCAAACTCGATAAACCTTCGATTATTTCCGCCGGCAATGTGTAACCAGATTTGTTTCATGCTAATATTGGTGGAAATACGAAGCGGGCGTGTGCCTTTATTCAATTTTAAATGGAATTTCTTTCATGACAAATAAGAAAAAAATAGAGGCATTAAAAAAGAATGTTTGGATCGAATATGGACTCGAGTGTCTGATGCCGGAAGATTTCAGTCCGGAAATTGGCTTAGCTAATAAAAAATGCTCTTAAAACCGTCGATCTTTGTTCGCCTTTATGCATCAAGTGGTGTTCTGGTTCGATCGTGATTAAAGCCTCCATGCAAATTCACTGATGCCCAATGCTATTTTTAACATGATATAATTAATCCATCATCCGAGAAACTAGAGTGATTCTTACGTGGTCACGCTTATCGAGGACGAGAACTGTCCATTTAGTAATGGCCGCACAGGGCCGGCTTGGAGTTTTTTTATATTTTTAAAAATTGCATGATTGAATAATCGCGATTACACAAAGTTATGTTTACAACCACACCTGAACAATCTGCTAATTTAAAGTAATAGTGCAAAATGGTATTGTAGGAGAGCGAAATTTTTTGAGGGATTCTAGGTCAATTGAAATATCATTTGACAAAGCTAAAAATATTTTCAAACATACAATGGAATCGTTTTAACAGAACCGAATAAGGTAATTTAAAGTGTAATTCCTTTACCATTTTCTCGAATTCGGGCTTTCAACTCGTCAATGATATGCACAAGTTGGTGTTTTTTTACGTCGGGACCACGAAATATTCCAAGAGCGTCAAATCTGGTCATGGAAGTGGGTACATGCGGTTAGTATGGTAACTAATTAATCAAATAGTCATCATAAAATAAATACCCTTAAGAAATTTAACGTCGTTTGTGCTGTATGAGCTGTTGCACCGTCATGTTGAAAAAAGTTATTATGTAGTTTCTCACGACCGAGTTGGTTACGATATATACTGGCACCGCGCAGGTGTAATCGACTCGTCAAAGAAACAAAGAAAATAGGTCCATACAAGTGTCTGCTTGAAAGAGCAACCCATACACAAATGTTTTCTGCATGTAGAGGTATTTCTTGAAAATAATGAGGATTTTCTGCACTCTGTAATTACATTTTTTGTGAATTCATGTACCTTGAGATATAAAACCAAGCTTCATCACTAAAAATCGATTACAGTGTCTATATGTTTTACAAAGCTAAGATCAGAGTCAAAAATGACTCCCGAGTCCCTGATTTCCCTAATAGCCTCCTGGAAATGGTTGTTAATAGTTACTGAGTGAAAATTTTATAACGTTTTTTTTGTTATCTGTTTACAAGTATCTTTATTTAATAGCATACTACTATCACTGCACCAGTTTGATAATATCGCAAGGGTAGATTGCATAGTTTGGCAATCATCAAGATCGTTAACTTTAAAAATTAATTAAGGTCATCAGCGAAGAATCAAAATCCAATGCTAGATCGTTTATAAATGATAAAAATAAAATAGGAGCAATATAGCTACCTTGTGGAACTCCAGAAGGAATAGAAATAGGATTAGATAGAAAACCTTTAACTGAGATTCTCTGGGTACGATTTAATAAGTACGAGGCTAACCAGCTATGACGAGGACCGCATATATCATAAATATGTAATTTTTGAAAAGAAATTTTGACTTGAAGTTTTACAGAAATCAAGACTTGGGAGCCTTCTTCTAATGCATCTATAATGAATTCATTGTAGATGGTAAGATTTGTTATTGTGCTTTTTCTGGACGGAATCCATGCTTATGGGATGTCAATATCTTGGCATACGTAAGTTTGAGTTAATGTATTATTGATAATTGCCTCGAATCCCTTTCATAAAGCTGCTATAATTGAAACGTCAAGGCAAGTACGAGAAGTTAAAGATTTAGTATATAGGATCCAGATTGGCCAGGCTAGACTGGAAGCACATTGTGTCAAGTAAAATGATGGACCAGGATTAAAACTAGATTTAAGGCATTTTAATTTACTTTTTGAATCATCAAGACTGAGTTGATGAAATGTTAATTTAGATTGTTCATAAGTTCTGAAGGGTTAAGTTTGATGCTGGGGTTAACAATATCATGGTTGTCAACATACTTGAACAAGTTTGTAAACATGTTGGCAATGTCTTCAGAATTTGAAACACAGTTGTCCCCAAAAGAATTGTAGAAATTGATCTTTGTATCAATTCTTAAATTAGATTGTAGGTATTACTTCCCGAACGTAAGCGAAGGAAGTATTGTATTCAAGACCATCGGACGAATGGCCACTTTTATGTTTTCTCGATGTTTCATGATCCCTGCAGTACGAGAAAAGCAGTCTCCCGTTTCGGTCTGTCTGTCTGTATGGTGTCTGTACCCATTTTTATTAGACGCGTACAATCTTCGAAACTGCTGGACCGATTATTGTCAAATTTTGTATGTACATTAGAAATATCATGTAGATGGTTAAATGGTAACCACAATTTGGCTAATCATCTCCAACAACAATTTGATGACGTCATTTCAATGAACCGTATTTTAAAATGAGTTGAATGCTATACAGAAATATACTCCTATACTTATAGTATACGAATCCGTTTTCGATTTTTTCGCTAAAAATTCAAATTTTCGCAAAAACAATTGCACGGTATAATATTTTATACACCACGAGATATGTGAACTGGTGGCGCAGTGGCTCAGCGACATTCTGGGCAAACCGGTGACATTCCGTCGTGGGTTTGATGCCGAACTAAGTGCTTTCCTTTTTTTTTCTTGCATTGGTATAACACTGCGACTACTTTTCTTTTGTGCTGTGACTAGAATAATTATCCATGTTGATGACGTCATCACAAAATTTTTATTGGTCAAATTAAGAACGAGTCACCCCATTTTTCTCGAAAACGTTTTTATGTAATAATTATAAAATACAAATTATAATAGAATATTCAGAATATTTTGTTCGATTGTGATTTAATTAATAATTTTGGTCCTGTTTTGAGAAAACAATCTTACTCAAATCAAACTAATTTCTACGGGACATTCTTTCGATGTATAAACATAAATAAACACTTGAAACATATAGTTCTTCACAACATATTGTCCATCGTTCGATTAAACCACATGCATTACGTCATCCTCTTCTTATTTTCTAGTGACTGTAGTTTTTGAAACATGTTCATCTTGTAGGGAAACATTCCAACCCCTTATTAACAATTTTCTAGGCAGTACTGTATGATAAGTCGGCTTGCTGTGAAAGCCGTCTTAAAGATGTATGGGGTTATCATCCATAACTTGTCTAACGTTATCCTATGTTGACTAGCGCAATCATCATGAATAACTACAGCAGAAATTTAAAAAATCCACGGATATTAAAAATGATTTTATGTCGTCAAAAAATCAGAAATACCAAATTTTGTTAGTAATGGAATTCGTAATGTCTTAAAACTTCTTTTTTTTTCATGTTTGCCAGAGTCACGTTTTTATCCGCAACAAGCATTGGAAATGTGGCCATAGTTCGCACTTGCAACATTGAATCCAAAGTTTCGTCATCGTCGTTGACAATACAGGACTCCCATGGTCTTCTTTAGAGGCTTCTCGCTGAGCTTTCTCTATTATTTTTGGGTTGAGGTTGTGCATTCGATTTTTTTTCTATGCATCTGATTCTCTTACAACTGTCTTCCTACCTGTACTAAGGGCTGAACGCTCAACAGATTTCTTAAGTTCTTATTCATAGGGAGACTTGTGAGACTACGATTGCTTTTTTCTTTGAGATGGTGGGGATTGGAGCACCATCACTGGGACTGACACGTTTGGACGTTGAAGCCTGAGGGCTTGAGGGTTAAACGGGTGTTCAGTTATCTTATCGTTTGCTTGTCGACGGCTGATCATTTTGAAGTTGAGCTGCAGGACATAACATCTGAGAAGTTGAAGGCATAGGCAGAATGGCAGAAGGTGCTACAAGCAACGATATTTTAAAAAGCTGGGCCATCAATATGAAGAAATAAGACGGTTCGGATTACAAAGAGGCAGTTGTAGTTGTGAAACATATGGACGTAAAAATTATATAGGAAGTGTACTTAATAAATGGAATATACTAGTAAACCCTTTTGTTGACATAATATTCAAAACGGTTAGGGTTCAGCCTCGTCGAGCAAAAAGAATAAACAGCGCGGCAGCTCTTATGGAAGCAGGAAATCTTGATGAAGAGACTCCTGAAGGTTTGGAAAAGAAATTTGTCATGATAGCTTTACATGAGCTTGCCTGGAGTGGTGGTAAAGGGGCACACTGTTTGACCCATTTTTTCAAGAACGAAATCGACAATAGCAAATCTTCTATCTGGTAGAACTGAACATAATTCAATTTTTTCAAAAACTGCGCAAGAGGAATCTAGGGTCATCAATGAGAGCAAATGGGTAATGAAAAATAAATAACAGCCAGACCTCTGTCCTGTTCGATGTGCTGATTTTTAATGTAAAACCAAAATAAAGATAGTATTTCTTTTGCAGATTATAGTACAACTTCATGGGTAAGAGAGGCAAAAATAGATACTGGTACAAAAATTGCCCAGTAAACAAAATTAACAAATGGGTGAAACATTTTCCAGAAAAGAAAAATCTCGAACCACTCCCTACAGTCAACAGGAAAGTCTACCTTAATAAATCTGCAAATAATTATATTAATCAGATGAGAAAAACGTTACTGCAATTAGTTCCGTCACTGCTACTACGTTGTCTATGAAGTCGACACTTAAACTTTGGAAAAAACTTCAGCACAAAATTGCAACAGTTAGTTTTTCTATTTTTTTTTTTTTTAATTTTAAAAGATGAAGACATCAACCGCACAGGGTTAATCGTACAATAAGGTTGAACAAAAAACAGATTAAATTTGTGAGTGCAGCTGGGTTGCCTTAAGAAAACTAAGTGCTCGATCTTTTGCTGAAGAAGAGTTCGCTAGAAGACCCTCGAGAGTAAGATCCAAGACTAGGATGGTTCGGTGCGTAATGTACTTGGTACAGAGTGTTAACAGATGCTCAACCGTGAGAGGCACATTACAGGTTGAACAAGATAGAAAGAGGTTGCCAGTCTGGTGTGCCCTAGTCGAAGACGTGCCACGACAATTTCATCCCTTCGTGAGTGAGGGCAGTGCACCCAATTAGTAATGCAGGATTTTATTCTCTTGACCGGAGAGGTAGTGCTGTTCCAGGTGATTTGCCAGTTGTGATAAAGACGCTCCTTGAGGTGTAATTTAACATCGGAGTCCGTAGAATGTGGCATCAATGTAGAGGTTGGATGGGTCATTGCGAGTTTAACAGCCGCATCGAATTGATCGTTACCATCACTATCTTGATGAGATGGAGTCCAGAGGAAATGGATGTCTTTGCCAGTTTGGTGGAGAAGAGCAAGTTGGTAGTGGATTTGTTGTACTAGAACGCAGGTCGGATACATTTGGCCCAGCAGTTTTGAGGAGTTCATGGAGTCAATACAGATGACAATGTTATGATGTGGCGTGTTAGGCAAAGAATCATCTTGGACCGCAGCAGAGATGGCAACGAGTTCCGCTATTAGGATGGAGCTAGTGACTGGTAGACGATAAAGTTGTTTACCTGATGGAATAGCATAAGCTGCACCAACGCCTTCTGTTGTCATTGAGCCATCCGTGTAAATGATGAACGAATCAGGAATGTCTGCCAGGATGGCCTGAAAGCACTCAGCAATTGTGCAGTCGTTATTAGAGGTGACCGAGGAATCGCCAAGATGAAGAGTAAATTGGAGGTAGCCGCGAACCCAAGGAGGGAAAATTTGGGGCGGTTTAGGAAAAAACACAGGAAGTGAATAGTTCAGCTCGTGAAGGAGCAACGAAAGACGATGGTAAGCAGGAGAGCATAGGGACGTTTTTTGAGTAAAAATGAGCTGTGAGCGTCGGGAAAAGATGAGTTTATGGAGTGGATGAGCTACATCGGCAGCTTTTTTTAAACTATAAGATAGCAAGAGGAAGTCACGACGTAATAAAAGCGAAGGTTCGGCAACTAAACACTAAAGAGATGTGATAGGGGTCGTGCGAAAAGCTCCTGTTGCTATACGTAGAGCAGTATTGTGTAAAGAATTTAGGGGAGCCAACGCAGATGATTTAGCAGAGGAATATGCGAGAGAGCCGTAGTCTATTTTGGAGTGAATCAAACTTCTGTAGAGCCTAAAAAGCATTTCTGAGTCGCTCTCCCAGTGATGATGAGCTAGAGTCTTGAGAAGTCCTAAGGTTTTGTGACTTTCTTGTATAAGCGAAGGAGTATGATCTTTCCACGCCAACTTCTGGTCAAAGATCATACCTAGATATTCGATGGTCGCCTGGAATGCGATGTTTTGATTATACAGCTTGAGGACAGGTGGAGATGGGGGGCGAAGTTTTGAAAAAAGATTGCCTCTCGTTTTCTCCGATGAAAACGTGAAACCAGTAAGCGTTGACCAGTTTTCAACCGTACAGATGGCAGTTTGCATGAGGTGGATCATTGAACTGAGATTTTACCCTTAATGTATAAAGTGAGATCATCTGCGTAGAGGACGGGTTTGATTGGTGATTGAATATCAGAAACTATGTCATTTATTGCTATATTAAAGAGAGTAGTGCTAAGTACCGATCCTTGTGGAGTCCCCGTTTCCAGCGGTCTTTCAGTTGATGTACCACCATTTACGGTGACTCGGAAGCTTCTATTAGTTAAAAAATTACTGATAAACATGAACAGCTTGCCTAGGTGAGCACATACTGACCGTCCGCGAAGGCATCATGAATTTCGGTCTGCAAAGTTAAAAGGTTATCAACAGTTGACGGGTATTGCGGAAACCGCATTGTGTGGGCTGCAGGAGATCTTGACTTTCCAGGATTTTTTCAAATAGTTTACACATAGTGCAGGTGAATGAAATAGGTCTATAAGATGTGGCTCCAGTTTTTGGTTTGCCTGGCTTTGCAATCGGTATTATTAACGCAGTAGACCATATAGCTGGATAAGAGCCCGTAAGTCAAAGAGCATTGTATGCCTGGAGTAGGTAAAGTTTTCCAGAAGAAGGGAGTTTTTTAAGTAGCAAAAAGGAGATATCATCAGGTCCGGGTTCTGAGTTTCGACAGTTGGTAAGGGCAAAGTCGAGTTCCTCTAGGGTAATGGACAGATCCAACAGATTATAGTTTGCTGGGGAATGTGTAAGCCGCTCTTTTTCTTTTCGTTGCATTAATTCTAGAAAAGTGGGACTGTAATTTGAGAAAGAAGACGTTTTCTCAAAAGTGTCTGCCAATACCTCTGAGATGTCGGAATCTGTTGTCTGAATCAGACAATTACTATTCAATACAGGAACATAAAGAGAAGTTTTGTTGCCTTTGAGCTGTTTGATTTTGTTCCAGACTTCGGAGGGAGTTGTGTTGATAGTTATTTTGGAGAGATAGTTTCGCCAGGACACTTTTTTACTTTTACTTTTTACTTTTAAACTCAATTTGATTTTCAGGCGTGTTGCGGCGTTTAAGACGGGTGAGAGCTTTCTTACAAGCTGAGACGGCTTCTTAGCATTCCTTGTTGTTTTTATAATTGTTATTACTATTTGTCTAAGAAATAGTAATTTTGTAACAGGTTTGGTTCTTTCGAAATAAATGCTTCTTTGTTTAAAATATTCATTTGAACCACGAGTTGTATATTCTCTTTAATACCTACATGTGGTACACTGACTGCAATCCTCTGATAACCATAGTGACTAACGTAAAAGCTCTGTTTCGATTGGTACTTGTTAAAGAATTGACCGATTTCGTCGTTTTTATTTAAGTAAATATTCCCTCATCTAATCCTAAACTACGAATACGTACAAAATTTGACGACAATTGGTGCACTAGTTTCGGACAATACCTCTAATAAAAATCGAGATATTTTAGGGGTCATGTAACGTCGAGAAAACATGAAAGGAGTTAGTCACCCGATGAACCCTATTACAATACTTTCTTCTGTTATGCTCGTGAAGTAAAAAGTCACCTCAAAGGAGATTGAACCCACGGTCGCAGAATATTCTTACACTTATTACTACAAAACAATTTTACGCAGATCTGAATCCCTAGGATAAATACTCAGAAGGGACTCATAAATTGTAAGTGCAATTTTGGTTAGTATTTTACCATCTACACGAACTTCCTAACATAAATATAAAATTTGTAACCATTGGTCCGGTCGTTCAGGAGATTATCTACCTAATAAAAATGAACTCAGGAGTTTTATTTTTTCATACGCTCAGGATACTAAAACGTTGAGAAACACGAAAGTAGTGATTCGCCGGGTTACACTGGGGAGGTAAAAAATACTGTAACTGGCATACTTAGACATCCTATATTGTGTGAAATAAAAATGTATAGTTGGTTATTTGCTCTGACACAGACCTTTTGTGTAACAGTTCTGACTGAATTTTTTTTTTTCGTTTTTAGTATTCATAAAACTGCATTTCTGTGATTATTGTTCAGACTATCATAAAAAACAGTACACTTATTGTAATCAGATCTTTACTTCCCGAGTGTAAGCTAAGAAAGTGTTCTATAGGATCCATCCGACAAATGACTATTTTTATGTTTTCTCGACTTTTCAAGAACGAAAGCAGGGTTCGCGTTTCCATCAGTCTGTCGCCTGTCGTATGTCTGCCTATCTGTCTGTCTATCTATCTATATTGATTTTTATTAGACAAATAATCTCCGAAACTACAGAACAGATTGTTGTCAAATTTTATACATCTCCGTGTATTAGGACTATTGTGCAGATGGTAAAACGCCAAAATTTGTCTGATCGTCTACACCACCAGTGGGATGACGTCATCGTGAATTTTACTTAAATTGCATAAAATAACTTCCATCTGCATTTGTGGGTTATAAATCCGTGTTGACTTTCCATCCCGAACATCCAGACTTTTGGAAAAAAAGATCAAAATCGTGTAACAATATTTTGCAATTTTATTTTGAAGTTACAATACCGAATGCTCTGAAGCTTGGTAGATGTTTTAAGATTGTTGTAGGATTAATGTTATTTAATTTATTATAAAATAACATAGTCATGCATCTGCAGTACATGTACTCAGTTTTTACTCTAGACATCCAGCTTTTTGGAAAAAATATCAAAATTGTATAGCAATATTTCAGAATTTAACTTTGAAATTGCAAAACGGGTTGCTCTGAAACCTTGCAAATGTTTTGAGGTTATCGTAAGCATGGTAAATCGTAATGAAACTTTATCTCCTCCCTCCCCACAAACTAATGACGCCATCGCCAAAATTCTTTCAACCAATTTTTTATCTAGTAAATTTTCGTTTCTTTTCCACCTGCAATTGGTTCTAACATTTCAACCTTTCTATTTTTCTAGTGACCATAATTTTCGGACAAACTTTTACTTTTGTTTAGTTTTTAAATCTTTTAATTACAAACAGTCAGTTGCTTTTTAGAGCTTGTCACTCTATTCTAGCATTCAAAATTTATGTCAAATTTGAATTTTCATGAAATACTTCCTTATTTTAATTCAGAAGGTATTCGTTTGATAAAAACTGGTACTCTAATTACTATAATTGAATAAAGGAAGCACTTATCTTCACTTTGCTTGAAAAGACATTAATTTAACACAACTTCACAAATTACAGTAGAAGCTCGGGTATCAAATTAATGCAAGCAGTACTCCCACAGGTATGCAGTTGCAGCCGACAAAGTTGTAATTAGAATGTGAGACGTTCGAGCATTTAAATATTTACCAGCACGAAAATCAAATAATACGGTGTCGCTAAGCCGGCCCTGTCATTAAGTGTTTTCTAATCAGCGAATGACCAATTAACGATAAACATATGCTTCTGCTACTTATCAGGAAGACTTAATAATAAAGCTGCTGTAAACCGTTCGTATAAAAATAATATTTGATTCGAATACGCTCTCCCAAACAGTTCCATTTATAACTATATAAATTTGGTCGTGGTATATCACGATATTTCCGAGAATTAGAACGGAAATTAAGCACACTACACATGGTCACTGTATAAATGTCTCAATCCGCGACAACACCCGTTGTGTGTGTTAATATAACACACCCTGTAACTTGCGTGTTCTAGAATGGAACAAAACCCCTACCCCGACAAGCATTTAGCTCCAATTAGACCAAATTAAGTAATTATCTCTGATTTGCGTTAAAATTTCGCATATTTATGAGTTAACCAGATCCGCGAATAAAACTTAGAGATCTGATCAACACAATGATGAAGCGACGAATTTTATTTTCTGAGCCTAATTTGTGAGATCGCCTGCCAATATTTCAAATTTTTAATTTGTGAAATCGCGTTTGTGACATTTCCTCCATTCGTGTCTGTTTGGCTCAAAATTTATGCACCGCCGTGACGTCGACCGTTTCTACAATTTATATTTAAATGTGCCTAATCCCAAATTTGATTTATCCGATAGCGAGTTATCAGCTAATTTGAATAAACAGGGGCGCAAATCCATCAATGTACTTGTCATATTACCATAGTAACTATAGGGCTAAAATAAAATGGGTTGTTCAAGGTTGAGGTTAGAGCTTCCGGAACAAGCTTTCCGTAATTTGTTTTGACCCATTTCTCGCTATCTGTCTGGGGAGAGTGAGGTACGCAGAAAGCTCGGAGCTGGGGAGAAAAATGCGCTAATTCGGGGAACTTAGCCGGCGCTAAACCAACGATGAAAACGGGCAGAGTTTAATTTTAAGAAATAATGTGAATGCATGTGGTCCCTAAAGGCGGATAAAGAACTGTTGCAGTCGTTGCCTTACCTGAGCTACCCCAACGTGTTTAACGCTCGGAATTCTAATCAAAATAAAAGCGAGCGTTGCAGTTTTAAAAAGGAAATTTCAGGGGAGGTTTCACTTCGAAGAAACGTGACCGCAGAGTCTTAAATTAGATAATATACAATTGCAGTGTCTAATAGCTTTGAAATAATACTGGCTGAAAGCCATACTTTTTGCCGGCTCTTGAAATTAACGAGTAATAATTTCATAGGACTGTCAACGAGGAATTCTTGTGGTGGAGGCAGTAATTATTGGAATAAATCTACAACGCGACACAGAGCACTAAAAAATGCTCGAAGGCTATTTCGAAGTGAACTTCCCTCATTTGTGCAGCCCAATAAATCCCGCTTCCTCGAAAAATTATAACATATTTTTGTTTTCGGACAACCTCTATAAAGTAAAAACCAATGACGCAGTTTTTTTAACTTGAAATTTTCAATGTTCCAGTTTAATTTTTTTTTCTTCAGTTTTTAGATTTACAATTTTTCCTTTTTTTTAGTTTAAATTTTTCAGTTTTTCAATTTTCCAACTTTTGAATTTTTCAGTTTTTAATTTTGCAATTTTTTATATGAGTCTCTCGAGTTTTCAATTTTTTAAATTGCAGTTTTTCGTATCGGTTCTTTAATTTTATTTTTTTAGTTATTCGATTTTTCAATGTTTTGATGTTATGACTTTTTTGTTTTGTCAAATTTAATTTTTTCG